GTGTGTGTACCTTTCCCCCTCACACGCGTGAACCGTCCTGCGATGTCTCCGTCACCGATGGGTGCAGACGGTGATTCTCCGTCACACGCTGGAGGATTGTGGGTCTGGAAGCCCTCGCTCTCCTTCTCTTCACCGGGATTGGCTGCTTTCTCGACAGGTGTGACTCCAGGCTCCGCCTCCTTCTGGGCAGCAGTGGGCGGGGCATAGACTTTGATTGGCGTGATGATGATCTGCTGAAGCTCTTGTAAAGCATTCCGAACGTTCCCGCCTTCCAGAATATCCTGAAATCAACAACATGATCTACGCTAAGCGGACGGTTCGAGACGAATCAAAACAAATGCAAATTCAGATCCATTATTCACCTTTTCAAGAGATTTGAGGACGCTCTGTCGTTCTCGGAGCTTCTGTATGCTCAGAGCGATCTTATGTCGAGCTCCTTTCGTCACGTTCTGAAACAAACAAACAAACACACAACTAACTGACGCTGAGAGACTGATTAAGCAGCACAAACTGCTACATTTTTTCATGATTCTTATAATATTTTCTTCACAAAAAATACCAGGGCTGCATGATAATAGTTAAACTAATATTCATGATTATTTTGCTCAAAAATTATAATCGTGATTATTACGCCACCCAAGGTTTATTTACCTTATTTCTGTACATTATGAAGCAGTGAAATTCCTAATATTAATTACAATGATTTCAAATTATGTTAATGCTTTTCTATTATTATACTCATTATGCTCCTGTGGCTCAGTGGTAGAGCATTGCATTAGCAGCACAAAAGGTCGTGGGTTCGATTCCCAGGGAACACACATACTGGTAAAAAATGTTTAGCCTGAATGCACTGTAAGTCGCTTTGGATAAAAGCGTCTGCTAAATGCATAAATTATGCATTTAATTCATTTAATTCATTAAAAATTAATGAATTAAATTCTATTAACCCTCAACACATGAGAGTCCATTCTGACCCAGAAGAGATGCATAAAAAATGTGAAAAAATGCACAGTTTTTAGTAAGGGAATGAAGCTTAATGCTTTAAGACCCTCAAAATGCACATCAAATCATTCATTCATTCTCCATATTTTTCCCATTTATTTTTTTTAAGAGATATAAACAAACTTCAGGTCACTTTGACCCAGGTATGTATGGAGCACCATTAGGTGTCAAAAATACTTTTTGTAAATTGATCTATGAAGTTATATTAGTGTCAAAAAACCTTTGTAAAGTATATTTACCCTTTTCCCCATTTCTCACGCACTTTTGGACTGAATTTTGTTGATAATCATGAATATGTGCGCCTATTGACGAACCACTGCAATGTGAAAAACTGATCACTTTTTTCATCTGAAAGTGAAAGTTTATGAAAGTAAAATGAATTTTTGTCATATTTATGTTGTTTTGTTAGAAATAAACATATGGTTTCATAAATTTGGATTGTTTTTGAGTGACAGCTGTAATCAACATCAGGAATTATTATAATTAATATTAGGAATTTGCATTAGTTTTTTTGGCGTGGCTCATTTGTAATGTTAAAGAATTTCTCAATTCAGCAGCTTCACTTGTGCAACAATGTAAAAGTCGGGGGCGGGGCTTTGAGGTCACATGAGCCGATGAGGGTGGAGCTCACCTGTGACTCCAGGTGCTGCTCTGTGAGAATCATCATTTCTTCATATGTCATCTGAGAAAAGAGCGATGCGTATTTATGTAGACGGAGACTCTTCAGCCAGGCCGGCACATCTGCAGGAGAAACACACACACAGACACAGAAACACACACACAGACACACACACAGACACACACACAGACACACACACAGACAGACAGACAGACAGACACAGACAGACAGACACAGACAGACAGACATACTCACACACACACACACAGACAGACACACACAGACAGACACACACACACACACACACACACACAAAAAGACAGACACAGACAGACACACATACTCACTCACACATACACACACAGACAGACACACACACACACACACACACACAGACGCATAAACAAACACACACACACACACAGAAGGTCAAGTGATTCAGAAATCGACCGCCGTCCCTGAGCTGTGTGCGCGTGATGAGAGTCATCACCTCTCATCCCGCTGCCGTCCTCCTGGAAAGTGTTGCGTGTGTTGCTCTGCTCCTCCGTCTGCTCGCTGCCTGAAGACGCAACGCTGCTCTGCGGCGACAGAGGGGCGTGTTCTGCTCCGGACACGCCCCCCTCCTCCTGGCTCAGCCAATCAGAGCTGCAGGCCGGTTGATTGGCAGGGGTGAGTGACATGGAGGGCTTCAGTGGGCTCGGCTGCACCTGACCAGTCAGTCCTGCGGAGCGATTGTGACAGATGAGCGACTGACATCTTCCATCTAACTAAACACTGACTGCTGCAGGTTTGTGAAGTGCCATGTGCATTTTGGTCCTTTTGTGCATGTTTACATTTTCACCAATGCAAATGAATCAATCAGATTTCAGAAAGCTTTGTTTATATGCATCATGTTTACATATCTACACCAGCACTTACTTTCGTTCAGATCAAGCTCAGTCGATTGATTCACTGATTGTTTACATGAAGGCTTTTCAGAGACATCAATGTGATTTTTAATGGATGCATGTGAACGAGTTTGTCATGAGTTTGTCTCACAATGAGACAGGCTTGTCTAGCTTTTTAAAACATTTATATTATTAAATATTTTTAATATTAATAAATATATTTAAATATTTTTAATAGCAATATATTTTAATTTAGAAAAAAAAAGTCACAACTGCAAGCAAAAAATCTGAATTGTGAGATAGAAAGTATTTTTTTTTAATTGTTTTATTTTATTTATTTATTTAGCAGCAGAAATAAGCTTGATTTTTTTTAAATCACAATTGCAAGTTCATATCTGACTTTTTTACTCCGAATTGAGTTTACATATCGCTATTCTGAGTTCGTATCTTGCAATTCAGAGAAGAAAAAAAAAAAAGTCAAAATTGTTTTTTTCTGTGACGGAAACAAGCATGTTTTTATTTTTTAAATTGCAATTCTGTTTATTTCTCACAATTCAGACTTAGAACTGAGAGTTTACATCTCAAGTCTGAATCTTGCAATTCTGAGAAAAAAAACACTTTATTGTGTGATAAGAAGTTGAAATTACCGATCTTTTTTCCTTGTAATTCTGAGTTTATATCTCTCAATTCTTCTCAGAAGTTAAAGTTTTTCCTCAGAATTGAGACTAGCATTTCGCAATTCTGAGGAAAAAAAATGTCCAAATGGTGAGATCATTTTTTTTTAATAAGCTTTCATGCACATTAGCGTCAGACAGACCTGAGACGCACGGCCTGGCGCTCGTTACCTGTGCTGCTGTTGACAGGTGAGGTCACTCCGCCCGATCCAGGGAACGCCATGTGTCCGTTCTGTCCGTACGCCGGCTCCAGGGCCTCGGCGGAGCAGGGCCACTCGTCGGAGCCCTGCCGGGCGTGATGGTACGGAGCCGGGCGCGAGGACAGGTGCTCCTCCAGGTGACTGAGCCACAGGGCCAGAGAGTTGCGGTCGTCAAGGGTGGTGGCGGGATGGATGAGTGCGTAGGACAGCAGCTGGCGGCTCTCCTCCACGAACAGGCTGCTCTCGATGGTGTGGCTCAGGACCTTCTGCAGCAGCTTCATGTATTCACACTTGGCTTCGCTGTTGCGTGGCTGCAGCAGGGGCAGATGGGAGAGCAGGAGCGACACGGCCTTCTCCTTCGGCTCCTGCTGCCACTGACTGACGATGGCTGGAGAAAGACACGAGGGAGATCTCAGTTTCATCCGATGTTCAGATGTTAAAAAGGTACGTTTGATTTAAAATTGAACCCTTTTAAGGAAAGTTCACCCGAAAATAAACACTCATTTCAATACAAACCTGGTTGAATGGGGTTGAATGAGATTTAGGTCAAGTCTATTTATAGCACTTTAACGCATCATCAATATCCTAACAGTTAGTCCATGATATTAATATTAATAATAATAATAATAATAATAACAACAGTAGTCCATGACTCGTCTTATGACGGTTTCATGTTCAGTACAGTGGCTAAATTAACGAAAAATAAAGCATCAGCAGACGCAGACATTTCCCAGCAGCACAGCAGTAATGACTTTATGAACTACTTTACTTCCAAGTCCTAAGTATTTGAGCGAGCTCATATCGCATTATAGTCCAATATACTTTTACAATATGTAAAAGTAAATGTCTTTTCTAAGCAAAACTTCAAAGTTTGAAAACACAACTTTCAACAGATCGCTATTAATTTTTAAATCAAATAAATTTACTTTAGCTTCTAAACACACTGCAAAAAAAAGACGTTCTTTCTCAGTATTTTTGTCATTTTCCAGTGCAAATGTCTAAAGACCCTGAAATCAAGATACTTTTACTGGAGAAACAAAATGACTGATGACAATGTCTTGTTTTATGAGAAACTGATCAAAATGAAGTGAATTTATAATTACAACAAGAACAAATAACTGCTGATGGGCTCAAAAAACTAAACAAGGAATTCAGAAGGAAAACAAGTTTTCATCCCCACTGACAGATATTTGATCTTGTTTTGATCATGAACTTCAGCTGAATTTCTCAGAATGGAAAAAAGTCACAAATACTGAGGAAGAGATTCATTTTTTGCAGTGCATGCAACATTTAACGCCAGGACTTTATGAGTATAAGACTTTCAGCTCTGATTTAAGGCCTTAACTTGTGGAACGGTGAATTAAGACATTTAAAGACCTGCAAATTTGTTAATTTGTTAAAGATGCCATGCTGTGTCACAGGCAGAACCTGTATCGCACATACATCACATCAGTCTGTACGTGCGAGCTCAGGATCAAGTACAAAACAGCCAAAATATTATCACTCTACTAAATGACTTCTATAGTTTTAGGATGCTGCACGTCATTCATCTGTCTAAAAAGACCAAACTTTAATATGATGAAGACAAACACAAATCTGATGGTGAATGGCACGATTTTCAGTAAATATCGACTTACAATTGTCTGAGAAACACACTGAAATCCATCATATGACTCTGTAATATATTCCCAGTCATCTGAACCACTGTCAGGATATTTTTATGCCATTTGTGGAGTTTGGCAGACCCTATTTATGGATGAACTGGCCCTTTAAAAATAACACACCAGTGCTCGTGCATGTCAGAGCGGACGCTGCTGGTGTTACCTGCATTGTTGGCTTCCGCCTCCAGTATGTGTATCTCGGTGCAGTCGGCCAGCCAGTGGTCCAGACAGATGTGCAGGAACCGGGCCTGTGTCCGAGAGACACGCTTCAGCAGCGACAGCAGCGCCACCGTCTGCTCACACTCGTTCCAGCCCTTAAACCAGTCCGTCAGAATCCCCACTTGGTCCCGGAACATCATGGCCAGCTTCTTCAGGGTCGGGGGCAGGGCTAGAGGGAGGGCGGGGCTTGTATAAACTGGGGCGGGGTTACAGGCGGTGCTCCAGTCCACTCAGAGAGGCACTGACAAGCCCTCACATGGTTCTGGAGCGCGGTGGACGCCAGCCGGGCACGGGTCAGTGTTTGGGTTCAAGGGTCAAAGGTCACAGGCAGATGCAAACACAGACGTGACTAGAGCATCTTCACGCGCACAGCTGCAGACAGAGCACACGCGTGTTAAATAAAGCACACAAACACTCATTCGTCCCTCTTTCTGTCTCAGAGTATCACAGAGCTGCACATAATCAGATTCCCACCGTCCTGCAGACCACAGCAACTCTGAGCCGAGGCCACACCAGCGTAAACACAGTCAGACAGGGGAAGAGCAGGGTACATTAATAAGAAATGAGTAAACACAGGTAGAAGACAGATGAGGTGTACAATCACATAGGTGAGGTCAAATCAAACAGATAAGCTGTAAATGTAAAGTAAATTAGAAAGAAATTAGTAAATACAGTCAGATTAGGGCGTACAAATCACACAGAATGAGGTGTAAAATAAGGGTAAAAAAAGAGTCGATTCAGTCATATATGGTGAAAAAACTAAATCACAGTGAGGAGGTGTAAAGTCAGGGTAAACTAAAAAGATAAATAAATAGCCTACAGTCAGAAGACGAGAGCATTCAGTCCGATGGTGTAATGTCACACAGACGAGGTGTAAAATAAGGGTAAAGAATAAAGAAATGAGTAAATACATAAGAGGAGTGCATTCAGACAGGAGTGGATGAAGTCAGACTGATCGGGTGTAAATAGAGTCAGGTGCAGATGAGATGTACATTCTGTCAGAAGATCAGATGAGCTTAGAATCACAGAACTCGAGGCTTAAATCCATGAAATGTAAATGTGGAATGAGACGGCGGTGTATCGATAGCCGCTGCTAGCTTTCACTCACACACACACACACACACACACAGCTGTTAAAGCCAGATCGGGTCAAACACACACACACAGATAGTGATGTTAATGACTGAACGAGCTACAGAGGGTTCGATTTAATGTTTATTAATCCTTAATTAGTGCAGAAATGAAATAAACGCGGAACACTGAAGCGCGGCTAACAGGCCTGATGCTAAAGCTAATGCTAACAGCAACCTGACTGAACCGCAACACACACACACACACACTATTATTATCACGATAACAACACACCTGATTCATCATTACACTCAATAACACACACTTCAGGAGAGGAAGCAGCGCCAACACACACGCTAAAGCACAAACCCAGAGCTAACACACACAGATTAAACACACTACACACACACTTACTGAGCGACACGCGTGAGAACTGCGCGGAAACACACAGACGGGCCCGAAGATCACCGGATCACCGGAGCTGCTCTACCGACAGACCGAGCGACAGACAGCGCTCTAACCGCTCTACCGCGCTCTCTCTCTCTCTCTCTCTCTC